CAAGATAATTAAATGAGGCTGTAGTTAATGCTGCATTCCCATGGATTCAGGCAGACAGACAATTTACTTTGTGTAATTATTTTTATTATTAGCTTTTCGTTGTCCAGATTGCCCATATTTTCTTAATATGTGAGGTATGTAACAACTGGATTGTAAATTCTGTCACGGAAGATGGCAATAAGTTAAAACCTTTTCCCTGTATAGAATAGTTATATGATACATTCTCCCTTCACGGTGAGGTAAATTTATTTTTAGGTATTATGTAGATTCTATGGCAATGATTTTTTGTGGGGTTGAAGTGTCAAAAGGCATTACCCTTTTTCTATGTATTGTACAGTTCATTAGCCAGCCTGAAAACTTTAAAGGACCAGTGTGTAGAATTTAGTGCCAGTTAGCTGTTTAGTTGCTTATTGCACACACATATACACCTCAACAGTAAAAGACCTTGAAATCGTGCAAAAAGCTTTTCCTGTTGCTTATCTAATCTGTCCTTGGTGAGGTTTTACATTTTACATTTCAGTGTTCTTTATTATGGGTGGGTTTTATTGAATATTTGCTATGCAACTGGATATTAATATTAAGTGGATTCCTCCTCCCTACTCTTCCATTCCTTACAAAAACAAACAGTTTTGTAGAGGCTTTTTCATGTCTTTTCACAGCCTGTCTGAGTCCCTAGAGCCGCTGATGCATAAACGGGCAAAAGAAAGCTGAGAGCTGCATGCAGACCGAACACTTTCACTCTCTCTCTCCATTCCAGAGTTCCACAGTCATTATGCCGCACTCCAGGGAGACTCGTTAAAAACATTCTGGAGATGCAAACTTTCATTCCATTTGCAAGTTATCAGTGCAGTTTGTCACAGCCAAAGTGTTGTGATGTAGCTTTGATGTTCCCATGAGGGCTCTGTCAAAGTGCCCACCCCTCCTTTTCACTTCTCGCACATCTCCAACTGAATGCAGTGATGGTACCTTCATCAGTGGCCTGTTAGGCCCTGATGACACTGATTACTTGTATGAGGAATGAGTGAAAACTCAACGTGAGAAGCAGCAGGTCAGATGATTATAACGGTGAGCACATTCCCAGTAACTGGCAGCCCTTGAGTTGATAATTCTTTATCAAACTAGGCCATCCATCCCTTTGCTCCCAGTCGTTTGTACACAGCTATCAGACCTGGGCCACTGAAGAGGGAAAAGGACAAGCCAAGAGAAAGTAATGATGTTTGTGATGAGCCTCAGTGTTGACTCAAGTCTAGCTGCTAAATCCCCAGACTCGCACAGCCAGGCCGTTACACACACTCTGTGTGGTCCGCATAAGCTGGCAGAGGGGCTTTCAGGGAGTGAAGATGCTTTTATATGAGGCTGTGGTGACCATCAGTGAACCCTCTCAGCACAACTTGCACGTTTCAGCTATTCAATTATAACTCCTTTCACCCAATTTTGGAAAGTGCTCACCTTAATGACTACTGTTTGTTTAGCTTTCTTATTTGATATTTTCAAAGGATAGCCAAGCCCTGTTGTTGCTACATCTCTGCCTTTACACCTTAGTTATTAAATAGCACGTGCACCAGCTCCTGGGGAGTACAATAGCGGCTGGGTCATTTGAAATAATCTTCCAGCTTCCTGTTGATGTCCTTTTAATACTCTATTAAAAGAAACATTGTGCAATCTCACAAAACATGCAACTCCTTTTATTTGTCTGAAAGTACTAGGACCACCTGACAGTTTTTGAGACAAAAAAGTGAAATACAAATATGATAAAGTCAAGACTACCTCACTGGATTTATTCAGGTGGTTGAAATAGAAAGAAGTAGCCTTTGCAGTGTATTAAGACCTACCCTCACAGTTGCACCTATATGTGTCTGGCCCTATGGCTTCATTGCCTACAATAAATCTGTTGTTAACATGGTGGGGCCTTGTCTTGGTTCCATCCAGTTTGACATAAATAATGTGATTCTAACTCACACTCTATGGAAAGGTTTGTCTATAAATTATCCTGCCAGACTGTCTGCCAAATTACCTACGTGGGTCTAAACAACTAAACATTATTTATCTGCAAGGCCTACATACTATTAGTAACAAATTTGCATTACAATTTCCATGGACACTTGTCATTATCCTACCTGTACATTATAGTTATTTGGCATTGTATGGCAATTATTATTACCAAAATGTTAAAGTTAGAATCATGACAAATTAAGTCCAAGATAAATAAGGAGAGGAGAGTTTAAGGTATACAGACAAAGCCCAAAGACTCGACAGCACTTTCAGTCAGGCAGCAACCTTGGTCTAAAAGGTTCACACCTAATAGTTGTCATCTTTAATTAAGCTGCCTCTAAAACAGGAGTATTATACATGATGAATAACCTTGAGTATAATGGTTTCACAACATTAAAAAGCAGCTATGTGCTGCCTGCCTCAAGGAGACGAGGCTGGTGAGGATGGCAGTGTTAATTCCAGGGACAGAGACCAGCATGAGCTGAGTGGGGACATCTGACAGACAACAGCGGCTGCCTGCCTATAAACCGAAAAACTCTTCAGCCCTCTTGGTTTTAAGAGCTTAGCTGCTAGTTCCTGCCACAGAGGTGCTCAGTTGTCCATAATATGACTACATTGAGGTCGGGAGGATGCACTGCTTTAGGATGTTTGGCAAGAGTTGATCCGGGGACAAATTGGCAGCATTTAGTGAGTCAACATGTTGATCCTCATTTCCATATTTCACCTGGGTGCTAAGCCCAGCATTAGAGTGGTCTTCCACACATACAAAAGCAGCAGAGCATTAAAAACTGCCCTGCGACACAAAGCTTCTTGAAATGCAAAGCAAACAGATATCACTTGCAATTTGCCCAAAACAAAAACAGTGCATCTGTTGTGCTCAGCAAATCACGGCGCAGTCGGGGGGGGGGGGGTTATTTTTTGTTGAAAACTAAAAATCATCTCAAGTCACTCTTCTCATTCAAAAGAATGTTGCCCTGTCTCCCTCTGTTTTCTGACATTATTCAGATGAGTTCTGCATTGCAGTCTGAGTCATGTTTACTGACCAAAGCCGCAGTGTGAAATCCAGAATAATTGCTCTCCTCAACTCCCCTGGCATTCCCTGGCACATTGTGCTGGTCTGTTCAGTTCAAGTGGGAAGTCTAACTGAGACAGAATTTTCCAAAAATAAATTAAGTCAGCGTTCTGTTTTTTTCTCTCTCTCTGACACATTATTTAATGTCATTGAAAAAAAAAGATTTCAAAATGACAAAAATAAAAATCCACGTAACTTGTTCTTGTCGTGGCTGCAGGATGATGAGATGAAGCCATGTATAAAAAGTCAATAAGGGAATGCAGCCACCATGGCCTCCCTGTCACTGAGAGACAAGGTTTATGTCTGTCTTGTACAGTATGTTTAGCACCACCAATTTTCACTCCTTGACATGCCTTGAGATTCACTTGCGAAACCAGGTAAGCCTACAGTCTACTGTATTCCCAGCAGCTTATGCAATTGCTTTAAAAAATGGCGAATGAAAAAACAAACAGATATGTCAGGGCACAGTGTGTACAGCTCATTATACTAGAGGCTTCTTCAATATGCAGCTATGCTCAGTGCCTGTACAAAATAACACACAGGGAGGAGCTCTCTGTGTGTGGTGTGAAGTGAGGCAGCGCTGGTAACAAGCAGATAACAGTCCCACCAAGATGGTATTGCTTAGTGCTTTACACAGGAAGGGGTAGGCTCGGGCGGCATCATTGCCATTCAGCGCTGCACGCACGCAAATGTGCACATTCTGCCACACACAAATCTCAAAAGCAGCCCTGTTTCCCCCAGCCGGCATGTCACTCTCCCAAATTGTTTCATGTTCTTTAGAGCGACTAAATAAAACCAAAAGGCAAACAAATCCTCTTGGGACAGAGAAGCAGAGAAAATACTCGTCGGATACTTTGTAGTTCTGCCTGTGTCTAATACTTTCTAGTCTGGTTTCTTCAAAATGGCATTTTCTATTTGAGCTTGACTCTTAAACTGTGTAGGGGTTTAATAGGAGAAGGAAGAATCTCTTAAGGACTTACTGCCATCTGTTGGTACTGAGTGAAACTGATTATCAATCAATAATGTTCTTTGTGTCCTGCTGTACTGTACAGTATATTAGTAATTTGCATGCTGACTTGGACTGTATTCCTCATTCTATGTGTCAAGGTCAAAAAAAAAAACACACTTGAGAAATTGTTACCAATGTGTAATTATTTTTCAGTCATTCAGTTTCCTCTTAACATTCATATTGTACTTCTAACCATAACCACTCCGCTGAACTCAAGGTCTTGGTAACAGCATAATAACTGTATAATAGCTGCAGCTGAGGTGAAGCTTTTCTCTGGAAGATATGTAAAAAATGCTCAAGCATGCATGAATGGATCCTTTGCAGAGGGTGAAGATAATGGTCTTGCTTTGAAGCCGAGGCCTACCAATGTAAAAAGTATCAAATATAAAAGTATTGGTTGTTTGAGGAAATCGAAACCAAGTTTTCTGACACTTGAACATCACCGGCCAGGCATGAGGTTAAATATGCACTCAAAATTCGGACTTTGTTTATGTTTTTGTGGCATAGCATTTAAATGAGCGGCCCATTGTTTTTAGACTTTGTAAAATGACTTGTCGTAATGAATGTGCAGGGACCTCCGTTTTTCATAACATCTTGAATCACCATATCACTCTCATTTTTGCATGCTTGACTGAGCCATAATTACCATTTAAAGTGGGATAGAAGTGAGGTGAGTGAGTTGGTTGTTTGCACCTCAGGTCACGCATGCTAGGCTGCCTTTCTTGATTACTTGATTAGGTGAGGCTAGAGCAGATCAACCAATGGAAAATTTAAAGGGAACAAAAGGTTGATCTGTGACACAACAGATTTAGCTGAATTTCTACGAGAACCTTTCCATATGATTGCCTGTGTATATTTTCTCCTTAGTATGTTCACACTATAATAGCTATTTGATGTGACCATACGTAACAGTAAATACAGCAGTAATGAAAACCATTCATTTCCATTTATTTTAAAAAGTCAAACTGTATGGTAAAGGAAAAAAAAAGAAAACTTGCATGGTTCTGTTACATAAGAATATAAAACAATTAATGTTCATGTTATGGGGCTTTGCAACAATCATCACTGCTGTTTTAAATGGCACATCTCTGCCACCAATAATGGAGACAGAATCTAAAAAGTGGCAAAAAATATGTCACATAATTGGCATAAATGTCAAATGAGGTTACAAAAACAGTTTGCCTTTCAGGGGACCAAGATATCATGGCTACACAGATGGACTTCTGGCAATAAGAGTTCCATGACTAAATACAATAGCTTTGAAATATGCCTCCAAACTGGCTATTTTAAAGGGAACCATCTATCCAAAAAAAAGTCCCACTTTGTTACATGAAAGGGGTTTCCAATCTATTTAGCTAAATGTGGCACTGTGACCGGCTCCCAAAGGAGTATAAAGAAGAGTACAAGTATTGATTCCGACAGAAAACATGTTGAAAATAAAAGCAATATTAAAGCCCTTACATTACAGTTGAACTAGATACCAGGAGGTAATAGAATAGAAAAAGGAAAAAAAAAGGAAACATAGACAGACTTCTTTAACAAATCCTTCTACTGCATCTGGTGCTATGTTAATGTAAAAATACAAATCAACATGCTAGTTATAGCTAGAGGTCTTCAGTCTGCCTCCTCTTCTTCAGACTCGGACTCTGGAAAAAAAAAAATTAAACATCTGTAAGCGCTGTGCTCAAATATCGATGCATCTAGGGCTGGATGATACGACCCAAAAAATAAAACACACTGTGTGGCTGATTTTACGTTATGTGTGTATTAGTTGATTGGGGCTTGTTTTACTTAGTCCTTAGCAGCTGCATATCCCCACATTATCATTTGTAGTTTAAATCTCCATTTTAAAATATAAATCCAATCAATGGATCGCCCAGCTCGACATGCATCGCCACCAATGTCATTTTTTCTGTCAAAAGTGGGACAGAAAAAAGTCGCCCAATACAGTTGCTCAGCACAAATGAGATCCCCATGCCATGTGTTTTGGCAACCTATGGCTGTGGGAGGTAGAACCAGGATCACAAACTAAGACAGAACCAAGGGAGACTGTGAGGTGCTCACCTTCCTCTGCGTTCTTGAGCCACTCAACGAACTTCTTCATCTGCTCAATGAAAAGACTCTTTCCTTTGGCGAGGTGGGCTTCGTTGTACCACTTCAGAATTGCCTCCTCGCTCAAGACATCGGCTTTGAAAAAATTAACAAGAAAATAAATAAATAAAAGTTCTACTCAACACGATGCCAACAGCACAAATGCGTCTGCAGGTGCTCGAAAAAAACAGATGTCGCTAGGCAGGTTGGCAACATCAATCAAGACAAACTTTTGGCTATAATTTCTGGCCATCTGGCATCATTCACACATAGCTTCCCACTATAAAATGGCATTTTTTTTTTCACAAATGTGAGGAGGAGAAAGGGAGCCCAGGGACACAAATACCTTTGTAGAGCAAAACAACTATTTTCTGGAAGGCCTTCATGAAGTGAATGTTGTCGTAACAGTACTCCTGGATCTTGAGCAGGAGGGTAAGTTCAGAGAGGCCTTGGGAAGTAAAAGCCTTCAACAGTGGGCTGTATTGCTGAATGTAAAACAGGGGAAATTAAATGTTAGAGTAGAGTAGAGCTAGAGTACAGATATGGTAAAAATGCACAAAAGCAGTGGAGGTCGAGGTTTCTCTGACCTCACAGAGGACAAAAAAAAAAAAACACTCAGGATGTTTTTCGGATTTCTTATATCGCTTCCACTTTCAATGGCTTTGGGTAAGTAAATCAATTATTTTCATTGCTAAGTTCAAAGCCAACAGCAGCCTGGATTTTGAAACATCTTAAAGGCACAATTTAAGAGCGACATCCATAAGTTTCTTTAGATCTCTCGTTTCCGATCGCATTGTCACGACTGCCACAGGGTCGAGGAAAAGCAGAGCCATAATAACAGAAGTTTCACCTTTAAAAGTTTGATGGCTTGTTCTGTGACCAGCTCCTCCTTCTTGTTCCACTCCACGGAGCTCATTACACTGGACCAAATGAGCCAAATCATGGTCTGCTCGGAGATGTTGTTCTTCTTGATTTCCTCTCGGATGTAGGCGATGATCTGTAAGACCCAGGCCCAGAGATGGAACACCCGTTATTGGCAAAGCATGCAAACCATGGCCAGCATATGCTTAGGCTTATTACTTATCAAATCTGGCTGAAGTCTGAGGTACACTGGCAGGATATAGAGGTTTGCAGGAGCAGAGAATTATGTTCAGGTTGAGTAGATTTAAGCAACGTGTTATTGTTTCACTGCATCCTGTTCTCCGGGCACTCCTCAAGACAAAAGGGGGCAGAAGTTAAGAAGAAAGCAATCTTAAGTGCTACCCTCAAAGGTGTGGAAGAAAAGAGGGGCACGGACAATGAAGAAGGCTTACATCTTTGAGGGGGTCCCCACGTGAAATCTGCTCCTGAAGTTCTTTCTGCAGCTCCTTTCGGGCACCTATGGACTGCTGGTTCCTGGCAAAGTCCGAAAGCTCCTTGAGCCCGGCGTCTGTGAAGTACTTTGAGAAGTGCTCACAACTGCGCTTGTTGGCAGGGAACAGTTCCTGAAAGAGCGCACAGTCAAATATTGAGGCAGACATTGTTCGGTCAGACAAGCCATCTTAATGGAACAGTGGATGCCACTATAGCTTGGAACTAAATGCATGCTGATTATTAGTCTTATTTTATTGTGCATTTTAGGGAGTGTAAAAATTACTGACCCTGACTGCATCTCAGTGTCATAAAGATGTTATACTCGAGTTGTTATTCTCACCATGAGCCTGTTGTCCATGCCAACCTTTCGGAGACTGGCAGCAACAGAGCTAATGTCCTTTTCAGAAAGCCAGGATTTGAAGAGTTTAACTGCAAAGCACGCTGAAACACCTGAACAAATGCATGAAGATGTGTCAGCTGTTGCTAACAGACCTGCCAGGATAAAGCTAGGCCTGAGTAATACACTGGTAAACACCTCCACAGGATGTTATAAGACAGGTTTTCACTTGAACAATGCCTAAGAAAAACAATGATGCAGTCAACAAAAATCAGTTTGGACCACAGGTGTATAAAATATGCATGTATACCTAAACAAGAAACAGATTTCAGTGATACTGTTTGCAGATGTGAAATAGACAACTTCTATTTATCATAAGGGTTTTAGGGCTGTTGGGTGCTGTTGGGCTGAAGCTACCTATCATTCAGTCTGTGACAAGCAGGAAGATATTTGGCCGCCAAATCAGAGCAAAACTTGCTCAAACTACCCTCTCAATCTTTTTTCAGACATTATCAATTAACACTCAAGTGATGAGGCCTTTAAAACGTATTCACACAAGTGATAAAACTACTTTACTGTTTATCCATAATGTTGGATTTTCAGGTTCTTTTTCGGTGTAAAATGTACGTGCATATCTGCTGTTGTCTGAAGTGATGTTAGGCAGAGCATGTAAGCTTATTGCAGATATACTGGTGTCAGCACGTCGGTCAAAGCTGCAGTAGACAAGAGCCGAAGATATGTCTTAAAGTCTAGAAACATTGCCTGTTACATCATTTGTCAACTTTATTTTTCCAATTGTAAAATGTCCCACTCAGTACACAGCTTTATCTATAAATGCATCTCCATCCCTGTCTATATCAATAGCAATTCTTGTTTCTCCAGTTTAAGGAATCCTTATCAAACATGTATTAGCAATGTATCAAACATAAAGAACTACACTGGGCGGCGGATTGATATATCTCTTTAAAACTCTCTAAATGTCAAAATCATATCAGTTGACAGTTTTATCAGTTGCCCTTTGTTGGTCCTTTGGGGGTAGCTTGGCCTGTCAGTTTGTGCGTCTGCCCAGTTGCAAGTTGCATCATTTGTTACTGCCAACTGACACCAGCTACAATGGTTTATGGAGATTTCTTGTCATTAGAATCGCAAAAGGTTATTGCTTGCTAAATCTATGTAATCTGAAATAATAGAGTAATGCAGGCACTTACTGATTTTCAGGTAAGTAATTAACAAGAACAAAACAAACAAAACACCTAAATGTACAACATGGCTGCAAGTGGTGTCATTAAACACACACATTTATCCCCTCATATGGAAGACTTTTAGTCATGTTTATGCAGTGCAAGAACAATTAGATTTTCTTAATTTACATTTTTTTTATGATGACTTTAGATTCAGATTTGACACTTTTTGATCAGTACTGTTTGATTGCTCCATTATGTGCACAGTCTGCACTACAGTTAGGATGAGAAAGTGTGGGCAGATTTTTAAACAATAGAGTAAACAAGGACTTCACGCTTTAGAATTAATTTTGGGATTAATTGTGATGATAATTGTTAGGAAATCATCATGAAGACAATACGCTACGCTTTTTAAAAAGACAGATGTTGGGAAGAAAAGGCAATATGCGAGAAAGAGCAAGAGAGGATACCATTTTAACAGTTAAAAAAAACAATCGCAGCTACTGAAGAGGAAAACAAATATGGTTTATCTTGTTTTTCAAGATTAATTTGAAGGCACAAAATGACTCTTCCCCCAATTCAGATCTAATTTCATCTCAGTCCAGCTACTCCTACTTCCTTATCTGCAAAACAAACAATACAACAAAGCACGCCCACGAGACAGAAGAGTAAGTACCTTCTTTGACAAGATTCTCGTTGAAGAGGCTGCTAAGAATGGATGCAGAGAGATTGCCGTTGGCCAGCAGAATCCCTGTTAGCATGGCCAGTTTGTTGCGCTCAGACTCTGTGAAGCCCTTGAGGAACAGCAGCAGCTGCGAAAGAACAAACATATAAGCACAATCCTGTAGGCTGAATTGAGTCGATCCAATTTCTTTTTAAATTTGAGTTGAAATGAATTGAAAAGTTTGGCCTGGAAAGGTACTATGTGATTCTGTAAAATGCCTCTAGCAAAAGACAAACCTTTTTAATCTCCTCCTCAAACCCTTTCTCCAAGTATTTGTAGCGCCTGATGAGCTTGTTAAAGACCTAAAAGGGAACGGAAAGGAATATGTTTCATTATTTGTAATGATAACAGTAGAATATGATGGATTCAGGAATTGAATGGTATTCACCTGTGCATATGCCTGCATGGTCTCCATGTCCTCTTGTGCTTTGAAGAGACAAAACTCAGTGCAGGTCACCTCATCTGACAGGGTACCCCCTGGGGCTGAAAGAAAACACATTTTTTTAATTGTTTTATCTTGTACAACCATCATACTTCCAATGAGTTGCATTACTTTGTATGATTTTGTCTCTATAGTTGCACAAAACTGAATGAAGAAGTTGTTTATCCTGGGAATTATTAGTGTGATGACACCTAGTCCTCAGATAGTACAATGAACTGAATGTATTACCATCAAACCAGTGATGACCACTTTTTAAAAATATAATAATAAAACAAAATATGGAAGAGCCCCGCCTCTTACCCAGCATTCCACCGGCCACCAGGATGTCGAACAGAGTTTCAGCATAGCGTCGGTAGTCAAGCTTGGCACCAGATGCATCGAGGAACTTTGCGACAGCTTCCAAATCAGTGCCGGTTTGGTTCAGACCTTGTATGATGCTTTCCTGAAACTGGGTAGGGTCAAACCTCTCCTTTTCATCTGTTGAAAAGACATATATTTACTTCAGTTTATCCCTGCTACTTACTTATGACATTCTAAAAACACATGTCCAAACAAGGGTCATGAACAAACAAACATTTACATATCCTCTGCATTGCATAAGGCATTTTAACTAAGTCTTATTCAACAAGAAATGTATGTGTGCCTACTCTTCAGTGTGAAAAAAAGAATGTATTAGATATCTTGTCAGTGAACAAACAAGGATGGTCTTCGGCGATTAAACCTGACAATCATACGTCGGTGTCTGCGACTGCAAGCAAGTGAGCTGCTGGAAAGAGAGGTCAGTGGAAGACAAACAAGCAGTGTTCTTCACCTCCTTGTTTGTATAAAAAGAACAATTACCAACAAAGTTTCTCACCTCTTTTTCGTGTTTTGAAACGCTGGCCTGTTAGCGTAGGCTTCTGCTGCCTTTGATTACTCATAAAAGACAGTCTGGAAGACAGAGCAAAAAGAGATTGATCAGCAGTAGATCTGCGTTGTTAGGCTATACACACAGCTGAGAACAAATAATCCAACAATCACCTCATATGAATGTATTAAACAACTGCAGACATTGTGCAGCACTACAGTCTGAGATGTAAAATTGGCATTAATTAATAATAATTGTAATGGAAACAAACAAGGGTACAACACTGGAGTTAGTCAACCTTTTTTTTTAATATGATAATATCACATTATCAGATGACTCATACTAACATTAATGTATGTTAATGTTACAGTAAGAAGTAAACTGTGTATTCATAGCATCAGTCTTGGTCGTGTGCCTATTGGTGTTCACTGTTATCATACTTAAGCCATCACACGACATGACGTTTGTTTTTTTTAATATTTTCTTTTTAACACAACATGTGAGACCAAAGTGCATAAAGGGCGATATTAAAGGTGTTAAATGACACAGACAGACACAGATAACCTAATGTCTGTTAATATTAGTCAGCTATCGATAGCTAATAATAACTAGTCAGCTTCATTTGTCTTCCTGACGCAGTGCCACAGTACGCTTACATATATGCCCACATCGCTACATTGCACTAACTTACATAAAAAACAAACAGCGACTCACCGAAATCCTCTTAATGAGCAAAAACAGGACGTGAAATAAAAACTATTGACACCGTTAGTAGCTTCCAGGTAAGAGGAAATTGTAGACCGCGCATGCGCATCAACACGGACTCTATGTGGGTCATTACATTTGTGTGTGTGCGGGGGGGGAGTACAGTTCACAAAGTGTAAGAAAACGGAGACAAAAAACGTCGGAGTGGAATTAACCCTGGTAAATTTTCCCGTGAATATGTAATTTAATGTGATATGACTGCGTTTAGTCCCTGCCCATAAAGCAGGGTGGCGTAACGACGACAACTATTGTACCTCAACACCCCTCTACGGTGGGAAGTAATTTTCTTTAGTTAACGGGTAAACGAATAGCAGAAATGTTTCACCCCCTCAAACAAACAAAAAGCTGTTCCAGGATCAGTTTCCTGCCCCTCTGTGTTAACGCAAACTGACCCAGCGTTGGTATAATTACACAACGGGTCAACTAGTCGCTGCTATCTAGCATTAAGACACAGGAGGGGGGTGTTGTGCTGTCGGGTGGATGCTGAGTCTGTCTCTGGCGTGAAGGGAAAACTTTAATGTTGCGTTACAGTTTACCTCGTAAATCTCAGTACTCATTCCAGGAACTTCTGTAAACCCTGTTTGGTCAAATATCTTTTTGAGAATACCTACATATTCAAAAAAAAAAATAAACAAAACACATTTATTAGTACATTCATCCGTCCCATATACATATTTTATTCATTACTTTTCCAGAAAGTCGTCGTAGAGGCATACAGTTTGATATATTGTTATGTTTTTGGCATGTAAAGTTTAATATTATAAATGGATTGTGCTTGGCAAACTGCTTTGCATGTATCACAGTAAAGGGGGATTCATGCTTCATGTGGAAAACAACATGTAGCAGCAACATTTCCGACAACACCTGAAAGCACCACAGCCCCACCCCCCCGCGCTGGAGGTGATTAGGGGACGCTGGACGAGCCCAGAGACGCCGCTCCAGCCACTCCCTGCGCCCGGCGGACCCCGCACTCTGAAGTCCATTCAGAGCTCCATTCAAAGTGCTGAGATCCAGATGAGAGCCACGTTCAGACTCATCCGGCACAGCAGATACGAGTTGAACTAAAGACAGCCGGGGAAGGGCTTCAGGAGCCACTCCAGCTTGGGAGAATCACCTCTTGGATCCTACTTTTGTCCGTAGAGTGGATTTAGGACGAGAGGGAGCACCTTTGCAGAGATAAAGAGGCAAGTTCTGACATCTGCTGTTGCTCGGATGGGTGATAAAAAATGTTACATTTTTTGGGCCGTGTGTGTGTGTGTGTGTTTGTTACACTTTTGCACTCGATGCAACTTTTCTCAAAAGTTAACTTTGCATTGTCTCCAGACCGTCTGCTTCCCAACTCATTCATTCCTCCTCTCTGCGTGCAGGAGGAGGAGGAGGAGGAGGGGGACGGGGGGTTGGGATTGGGATTTCTTTTTTGTTTTGTTTGTCTTGTTTTTTCCTTTTTGTGGACGAACTGTAATGGTTGGAGGATACAGCTGATAGGACAGAGAGTCTAGTTTCTCCTGTTTGCCCCTAACCCAAACAGAGGCTCATTTAATGTTAGATGAAAAGTGCGGTCGCTAATTGCCTACATCTGCTGCTTATAAGCACCGTCAGACCGCTGCAGACCCCGAGCAGAGGGGCTGTAGCAGATGTGTCAGCTCTCAATAGTCATCCAGAGTTGAGTCTTTTTGAGATATGGCAACTGGTTATCGAAGTTTGCCATATTCAGCGCTGCGCAGAGAGTATCCGGCTCAATAACGGCGAACGGTGGTATCATCACACAACATGAACAATGTGTGGATGTGAAGCTCTCTGTCAAATGGGCGTTATAGTCAGTTGTGCAAGGGGTAAAGGAAAAACGGCTAACTCTGACCTTCACTTTTGGGATCATTCAAAGTTTCTTATTTCATTAAAATCATATCCCTGCATTGTGTAAACTATAAGCTGAGGCTTTATGGGACACAGAAAAAAGATCAACGTCAGCATTGAAAGTGGATAAACTGACTGAAGGTGGGTTACGCCTGCGGTACGCCTCCAGGTTTTAGGAGATCTTAATGCTGCCGACTGGAATAAATTACTGCTCAGCATGGACTGCATGAATACAACTATTCACCTCTCTGAGAAACATCCCAAAGTGGCGTCTTGTCAGAGTTGACCTGCTTTCCTCTCTGCTGGGAATCCCTTGAGGGATCCAGCTTGAAACTCATCAAACATGGAGAGGGTAACCTTGTGGGATGAAAAGCTACATCACACCACAACATTAAAACACACCGTTGTTGCATTAGATAAAGCATAGAATGTAAAAATAGATCAAACATTATGCCAATGGAGGAATGTTGCTGCCACTGAAGCTGTATTCCAGCTGTATGTGCGTGAAGTTTAGACATATCAAAGTAGTTTTAATGCATGTAGCATACTTTGTGCATAAATCAAATGTGTCACCTTGACTTTAACTCTTTTGCATGAATCAGTTTAGTTCAAACTATGAGCATTTACATACATACAGAAATGCTTTTAACGTGTGCCATATGTGATTTAAAACATGAATTAAAGGGCGATGTTACAAACTTCTACTAAATGTTTCTAGTTTGTTGCTCCTTTTGATGCCAGACTGTTTCTACGCTTGGCTTGACTTTTGAATCCTGCAGTTCTTTTCAACTTTCTAATTCCATTTGTGAACTTAAAATCCCCAGAGGATCAGATAAGACAAAAAAAAAGAAAAGAAAAGGATAGTGTCTTTCTCTTTGTGGCTTTCCACAAATATGTCCCGCCTCTTTGTTGGCCAGAGTCTGAAGAGAAAAGTCTGAGTTGGGAAACCAGATGGGAACTTTATTACCCGCGCTGATCAAACAAACAGTGATGTAAGATGACTGTGAAAGGTAGTGTGTGTGGTAATCCTTCAGAGTCGCTAGATAGACTCCTGGAAAAAGTAACAACCATTTAGCTCAGACTTGGAAGGCGACAGCGTGTGGGACTGTTGGCCACTCTAGTAGCTCTCCTCTGTGTGAGCTTGTTGGCTGGCCCGCTTTGAGTTGCATCAGTGCTTTTTAAAAAAAAAAAAAAATTTAAACGTGCCAAAAGCCTCTTCATGAACGCTGTCGGATGAGATGCTGGGGTCTAATGTGGTGTGTATAGAGGGCCAAAGTCCCCCTGCCAGTGCCATGGTGATGAATAGTGTTTGCACTTGTCTGGCCCGTGCAGCTTAGCGTAGTGAGGCGTGCGTCTTGTGTCAGCCCTGCATCAACAGAGATAGACAGGGGCCCACATGTGCAGCCCCACTGATTGAACCATGAAAAGCCTTCAGCGAGAGAGACTGGTTTTGCAGCCTCCTTTTTTTTTTTTTTTTTTGGAAGATTTTTCTGAAGCCAGGAAGCATAAAAAAAAAAGTCCCCTGAATAACATGTAGCTGCATTTCCAATTCACTTTCTCATCAACTTTGCAATAAACTAGATCTCATTTGCATTTGTTAGTTATTCAGTTTCTTTTTTGTTACTTTGGAGTTGAAAGGGTAAAAAAAAATCAAACATTGTATTCAAGTTCACCATCCTAACAAAGAACTTTCCCCTTAACTGTTTGACTCAGAACATTTTCCCATTTCCATTCAACTTAACTGCTTAAACTCTACGCCCTTTGCCTCCCTACGGAGTGAGAGTAATAATGCTGTACATTTGGATTCGGCTCACTGTTGATTTGTTAAGTCCAGTACAGCTGCTTTCTCCATTCACTTCTGGGAAACCAAGCCAGACCAAGTGTTTGCCGGCCTGTTGTGCAGACGATGCTGAAACTGGTAATGCGGCGCTTGTCTGGGGAACATTTTATACTGGAGTGAATTCATGTACTGTAATACAGTGAAAATTGTAACCTTGTTCTTCTGCGTGTATTTATTCGGTAGATGATTGAACAGATGATCATATTAACTGTACAAAAGTCCATGGGTAGAGTTTTTTTTTTTTAAATGTAAAACAGTACAGGGTTAACTGTCACGCCCACTTTAAATCAGTCAGAAGCATAGACAAAAAAACCCTCAAATCTCTCATGCAACATTTTCAGAACGGTTCCAACTTTGGCAGATTATTTTGTAATCATGTAGGATCCCACCGCTCATAGTAAGAAGCTGATTTAAGAAAATATGTTTTCAGAGCCTTTAAAGCTAACGCATCGGACGGTCATCTTGTCTCTTTTCAATCAAGGTTTTGTATGCTTAGTGGATTAATTATGGCACGGCTGTTGGCTCCTTTGTCCTTTTCTGATTGCCAGCTGAGGGCTCATGTTTTGCAAATGTACCGGTCTTGATGTCTCCCTGCTGTTTGTGCTGTACTGTAAATAAAGAGCAGTGTTTGTTTGGTTTACAGGTTTATGTTTAACCAGTCTGGATGCTTGTGTGTTAGGAAAACTCTTGTTTGCCTCGCACATGTGTGCACATTCGACAGAGGGCAGAAATCATTCAATAGAAGCCATTAAGCGCAAGTTGTTGAAAAATGTTTTCAGTTTGTTCAGTCTTTTTTCAGCGCGCCTGCAAAGCGGATGGCCGGACTGGCCGTTTGGTTGCGTGCCCACCTTTGCTTCACACACACACACACACACACACACACACACACACACACTCTCACGCATATCTGCACCTGGAGCGGTGTGGAGGACTCTGGACTCCAGGTCACTTTCTCAGGCAGCAAGCTTGCTCTCTGGTCCTCTTTGTCCTGGCCTGCTCTTTGGCACAGCCCCATGCCCCGCTGCTGCTCCATTAGGGAGGGCTTTAATCGCCATCATTGCCAGCAGCCTGTGATGTTGTGACTCTCCTGCCCCCATGACAAGGCCAGCTTGATCTGAGGGGAATTTACAGACTATAACGGTGCATAATAGAGTTTATTATCATTTGTTTGCACATAGCTACGCCACTGTGTTCTCAAACAAGCGCTCCCAAGGTAGAATGACGCCAATCATCTCTCAGTGTAGCTCACACAATACCCATTTGCTTTCTCACAGACAACATGTCATTGTGGACTGCAAGCTTGCTTTGTTGATTGTGGTGAAAATATTGACCATTTCGAAATTGATAGCCTCTCTGAGCGTCTTCGTTTT